AAACACCAAGCACTGTATTAGTCTCCATGTTCTGTTTCTACTGGTTAGCCTCACTAGATTTGAGTGATACTTACCCGCACATACCTATACACCCAGTGAGTCAGCGACTCCCTTGATTTGCCCAATTGGGCCTAGAAGTCGAATGCAGGGTGCCCCCTTCGAGTTTTGCAGGGCTCCATATGTATTCACTAGAGTATGGAAATAGGTGGTGCTACTGCTGTGCCGACACATCACATGTGTACACATCAACGTGTACCTGGATGGCTGGTTGCTACACAACCCAAAAAGGGCAATTAGTCAAACACCAGATTTTCTAGACCAGTTGTGCTTCCTACTAAATCGAGCAAGTCCCACCCTAAGCCAACACAGCAATGTTCTTTGACAGGTAGTTCGACAATGAGGTGGGCTTGGTACGGTAGCCACAGACCCGTTGCCTAGTCGAATGCCTAGTCATGGTTCCCTTTGTGTCCCTTCAAGAACAGATGTGGATCATCGTAGGGCAGTTCCCCCAGGCCGTGTTACGCAGCCACACATTACAGTGCACGTTTGTTACAACACCAGGCTCTCTTATAGGAACTGTAAAGACAAGTAACACTCTCGGACCAAGCAAAGGATGCCTTGCAGGGGGACCCACTCGCCATGGCTATGACTCTGAAAGCGGATGCTTCCCTCACATGTTGGGAGCGCATCTATTGGACAAACAAGCCCAATTGAAAATATGGCCCCTGCAATATTTTTAGAGCTGCCATATCAACTGGCTCGAACTGAAAGAAGTGTGCATAGCACTTTTTCACCTTCTACCCATAGTTCAAGACTACAGAGTCTTGCTTCGCATGGACAATGCAGCGATGGTCTTCTATAGCGACAAGGAGAGGGGATCAGATCCTGATCGTTGTCAGTCCTAGTAGAGCAAATTCTCCTTTGGTACCTGGAATACACATAGAACTAGCCGCACACCACCTTCCAGGGGCGAGAAACAGTCAAGCGGACACCCTCTCATGGCAGCTCTGTCTCCAGAACGCCGAGTGGTGGATACCCCAATGGGTAGCCTCCAGACTGTTTCGGCGGTGAGACGGTCCCTTCTCGCTGTTCACCTGGTACTGGAGAAACTTTGATGTGGGTGGTGCCCATTGTTGGAAATGTTAGTCGAAACACCAGAGGTGCTCCCAAACTTCTGGATCTGCTGTCACAACCGGACAGCACACTGCCTTTGACCCCAGTAATTTACATCAAGGCTCTCAAATGACTAACTCAGTGGACTGCTAACGTCCTGGCCATGGCGATCGGGGACCCCACCAACACAGCCTACGTTGTGAAATGATGTGCGTACACTGATTGGTGATCCATGCCATCCCAGCCAGGCGGCTGACTTTCCCTCCATGGTTTGGGCGAAAATTACTTGCCCTTTCGGCGATTGTTGGCTATAGGTCAGCCTTGTCACACACCACACCACAGCCAGTTGTCCAATTATTAGAAGACTTTATTGTTGAATCAGACGCCTAGATGCCGAAGGGGGAACCAACCAATTGAAACCTATCGGTTGGGTTGGCCGTACTAAGCAGACTTCCCTTTGAACCTCTCTGATCAGCACCACTCAAACTTTGGACGTGAAAAACAGTCTTCCTACTCGCCCTGCGCCTCAGATAGGTGTCGGGCTGAGCTAGGGGCCCTGTTCTTCTTGGACGAGTGTGTTGCTTTTATGGACAATTAACTCGTGATCAAGTCACAAATCTTGTTACTCGCCAGGAAGCAAACCACAGGACGCAATCCATACCTGATTGTCATCACCCGGCTGGCAACATTGCCAATCCGGAGGATCAGGATGAGTTGCTTCTGTGCCTAGGTTTATGTGTTAAGGCCAGATTAAGCAAGACAGACCAGCCTACCTGACTTCCATGGCCAGGTGGATAACTGCGACCAGGCTCAAGGTTTTAACCGTTCGACTTCACAGGGTCTACAGAGACACCAAGTATGGTCGCATGAGGTCTGTGCGATTGCTAAGTCACTAGCACTAGTGTCAGGTGCCCACCTCGAACATATTCTGAGGGCAGGCTTCTGGAGAATGCAGAACGTCTTTATCAACCACTACCTAAAAGATCCATTGAGGAGGGTCTATTTAGGATGGGCCCCGTCGTAGCGGGTCAGTTCGAATGACCACAGGGATCTTTGCATAGGCGATAAATCAGTCTTAGCAATTTTGCGGACATATTTCTACCATCGGCACCCCCTGGAATTGCTAGGTC